AAAAAAAAAAAAAAAAAAAAAAAAAAAAAAAAAAAAAAAAAAAGAAAAAATAGGAAAAGAAAAGAAACGTAATTACCGACGAACAGATTTTGCATGGTTAATCGTGACACGTCGTTTTCCGCACCGTACGTGGCATCGAGTCGACATGCGATCGTGGACGAAAAGAGACGTGTACAAAGTGAGGGAGGGAAAAAAAGGGGTGTACGTTGGAAATTGGAAAGAATTCGGTCTTGTAAATGTCCGAGGAACAAGAGAGATGGTTATCCACGATTTTCACTGGCCGACGACAGAAATGTGAGGAAAGCAGCCTCTCCGAGGGTGCAAAAAAAAAATCCAACGTGCTCGTTGGTGAAACAAGTGTAGCAGAGGGGCGGAAGGTGCGCGGCACGCGATCTCACGTGGGCTAATGCAGATCGAACGCCAAACTGCAGCTGATTCGCTCTAGCGGATAGTGGAAAGCTAGGCTGGCAATAAAATCCCCCTGGCTGGTGTTGATATAAAGTTTGCGCCAGCGGCACTTCGCGTGTGTGATCGGCACTTTCGTTTCGAAGAGCATTTCGCTCGCCGATCAATTCCAGTCTGGCATCACGATGACACGTAACGATCGCCATCACCTCGGTCAGACGATTCTGCAAATGTGGTGATTCCCCGAGTGTGCGACGTTCGAAATAGCACGGATACCGCGAGATAATTGAAGCTACAAGACCGCAATGATCGAGGAATCTCGCTCTTGTACACTTGCAGCACCGTGATGGATGATACCTGATTCGGGTTGCTCGGTTGGCAAGCTCGAGCCACAAATCGTACATTTCGAATGAGGTATGTCAAGATCGCGATCGTTGTGGCGCGGTTCCATCGAGGGGGTGCGACATCCTATTGGACACTTCGGAGGGGGACAGAGAACCACTCGTTAACTCCGTTGGTTGCGTCCAGTTACGTAATAAAATTAGCGCGGAACCGTCGCGTCGTCCTCGGAAAATGCATAATAGCAGGGGAGGGGGAGGGGGGAAGGAAGATAAACGCAATAATTGGCGGAGGAGCCTCGCTGGGAAAGAGGTAATTGCTGAGGCGAAAAGAACGGAGAAAAAAGAGAAAGAGAGGAGCGAAGTACGGTTCAGAGTGCTTAATATCTTTGCACCGTTCCCGTGGGTGGGCCTTCGACTTTCCAAAGGTTCTCCAGCGAACGTGGCCTGGATATAAATATTCTTAACGAGGGATGGATGAGAATGAGCGAGACGAGTAACTGGAGTGGCTGGAGAGAGGGGAAAACGGAATAAGAGCCCGGCGTTGAGGCCGACAGCCCAGCCATTA